GCCATCATGATACGCGAACTTCTCTATCTAAATTTAGGACTATGATTTAAGCTATGCTGTCTCATATAATAAAATCTTACACAGCCATATTAAGAGTTACACACAATTATACATTAATATCAAATCTCACTCATCTAACTTACTGTATAGTTGTAATTACTTAATCTTTAAAATACTGTGTATATCATCATACACTAATTACTAGTATAAATCTTGCAGTAAATTCCAATTGAACTGTGCATATTATTTTATTGCAGATTATTTTACAGAAATACGTATACTACCTGTAATTAATAGAATAATATTTATAGTAGATGTGGATTGAACTACATATTCAATCTTATTACAGATTGGTTTCAATTTTCGAATTCACTTTAATCTTTATTGTAGAGTTAAGCTAAATCTTAGCTGGCGTGTAATATCATTAGAGAACAAGGAAAAAGTAATTAGAGTAGTGGTAATGAAGACATATAAATTGCAAAACAAGTTGTATTGAAATTCTTGCAGATAATTTCAGTTGGTCTAATTTACATTACATATTGTAATTAATATAAGTGCTACACAATTTCATAAATCTGCAATGATTTTTAAGCTTTTTTGTTAAAGATTTCTATAAGTTTTTACTTCAAAGTCAAAACAGTAAATTTGGAAGTAGCGGTACTTTAAGTTTTAAACCATAAACAATCTCAGTGCAAAAGAAAATCAATGTCATCATGGACGAATGTAAACTACAATCACCTTGTACAACAAAAGGGTAGATAAATTATGTGCTTATCCTGCGTTTTTGTTTTTTAATTTCTTTCGGGCTGGGAGGCTTTATCTATGAGTATATTATAAATTAGTATATGGTAACAGTACATTGGAAATAGATTGTCATTGATGCTGACTAATTGTTTTCATCTAACCCTTCAGAGTATCTTTTTATTAATAGCATAGGAATGATAATAGAAGAGAAAAATGTCAATATTATTAGTAATATGTATAATTAACTAGCCAGGTGCATAAGCCAATTGCAGATTGTTTTTTCCTCGCCAATCAACTTACTATTGTTCACTTTAAATTGATTTGGTTGCACTTTAGACTTTTCCAAATTTTTATCCATTCAAATAAACAAAAATAACAAACAACAACAATGAAAAAATAAGAATACCTAAGAACAAAAATAAATTCATAATATTGCAACGACAAATGGATGTTGATCTAATTGTTATGACATAATTCCTAGCGTATTTTCCTCAAAAATTGGCAACTGATCGAACGTTAGATGATAGTAATGCAGCTAAATCAAGTTTAGCAGATTGCCGATGGCATGAAATATGCATACACAAGGGTAAAATTAAATGCAAAATGTAAAGGAATTATCATTTAAGATGGATTATTGAATTAACTCGGCTAAATGTAACCTACATTCAGTGACTAGAAAAGGAATAAGAATTATTTTTTTGTCTCTTAAAATGAATTAGAATATAGTAGAGACCATCGATTATTTTAAAACCAATTTAATTTGTCAAATTTATTCGTAATATTGCATTAAGAAATTCGTTATTGGATCTTTATTAAGTGGTGTAGGCGATTATTGAATGTGTTCGTGCCATAAACTTACTCTTGCGAACTGACTCAATAGTTACAGTTGATATTATCGTATTGAGTCAAAACTATTTTATTAATGCTACTATATGGTAGAGAAGATTATCTGCAAAGTACGGTGAATTGTAAATAACGTACTGAGCTAGCATTTGCTTGCTCTTTCTTATAGATTCTTGCTGTAGTCTGGCGGTGCAAATTTGCCTGTCGTCTAATATCATCGATTAACTAATCTCAAATCTCTATCAAAGATGAGCAATGCAATCTAAATGAATTATCAAAATTTACGTCGTACAGAGATAACTTTAGAACAGTTCATAAGCCATCGGATATACTTTCTGTTATATCGATTTAATAAACAATCCTAAGCTATTCAATCTAATTTAAAAATCGAATTCTCATAAATATTATTTGCTATTGAATTTAGTTTGCTAACAACTATTCGTAGTCAACAATGCCTAATATTGGTAAGCAAGCTTCTTTTCATATTAGTATCGCTACTAGATCTATTATTAGAAACTCAACTATATCAAAAATAGCCGCCTACACGATCAAATTTGCAGTGATTCACGTAGTATCACCAAAATACAAAAGATATTTCTTGGATATCGTTTGAATAATTATCATCGGATAATATATGTTACTAGTAAAGGTATTAATGGCAGCCTTCTCCTAGAATATATATTCTAATATTAATACCTCTTGATTATTTTGTATAATGAAGCCCTTAAGGTAACGTAATTATGTAGTGATAGCTGAATACATATGATAATGTAATCATAAAATCAAGCAAAGACTAGAAAGCATTTTATCTAAACTTTGAATAGCGTTAAGCCCCTAGATGCTGTTGTTAATTAAATAATAAACGTTAATTCCCCTAGATCGTTTACTGGCTGTACACACATACGATTTGGAAGCATTTCTTTCTGGGCTATTTTAAATAATAGAAACCCTCATGGATATGGTCATTAATGTGATAGATAGTAATCTGCGAATACATTTACCGTATACTCATTGAATACAGTACATAGAATAGCACAGCATCCATTTCTTTCGATACTGCTTTAAATAATGAAAATCCTCCTCATGTATTATGTTATTAAATAGATAAAGACAAAATACAGTAATTTTTGATATGATTATAGACAAATATATATTGAAACCTAGCTGACGCCTAATGAACATAAATTTTTTTCTATGTGATAAACAGGAGGCTTTTTATAGGATCTCTTTCATAAGAGCTGCTTCTACAAAATATGGCGCTATAATAGATTGATTTATTTGTTTTTATATTTATTTCATTCAAGATACTCTCGCGATCTATTTCAGTTATAGTCTGCACGAATTGAACGCACATAGTCAATTGTTGAATAGTTTTAGAACATATAATATCTCATTTAATCTTAATTTACGGTATCCAATTTCTATAACTTACTTTCACGGGTGCGGTGTTAATCTGATCGATTATAATTCACTCATTACAAATAGATTAGACTTTGAGAACTTTTAAAAAATATTATTATAAGGTCAAAATTCGATAGAACTCGCAAAGTTTCAGTACCAGATATCCAAAAAGCCAAGAAACTGTAACCCCTATAGCACTATCAATGTTAATTAATTTTTTTTAGCAGATACTTCATTTAATCATATTAAACTTAATGAAATCCCCTTTGCAAAAGTATTACAGCCACTTAAAACTGGCAATATTCAATTTAAACTATTAATTAGAGGTCTTTTTGATATGTCCTCTCATTTAAGATATTATAGATCAATTTTAAATATTCAACAATAGTGTGATAAAACAGATCACGAAATTCCAGGAATTGTATAATATTAGATCTCTATTAGATCTTCATATGATGATAATCTGTACGTAGTTCTAATCTGGCTGAATACAACGACTAGAAAGATTTTTAGATAGCACCATCGAATAGCCTACAATTATCTGCTTATACACTCTTGGCAAATAAGAACTTTACTTGGTCTTTATAAAAGATAATCCGTATACAGCACGATCTTAGCTGAATACAGCTATCAGAACGACTTTTATAAGGAACTACCAAATAATCTACAGTTCTTGATTATATGCTTTTCCCAAATTTTACAGCTATAATCGTTTTGGCAATATTCTACACTATTATAAAATTATTTAGGTTCTGATTAACGATACATGCTACGGCGAATTATTTACAGGTTATTAAGGTAACAGCTATAGTATTTACTATATAAAAGGTCATCTGCATTCTAGCATAGAATTCTCAATTTATGTTATATAATTATGAGCTAATACATATACTCTATGATAAATAGAGTAAGCTACGTTACCATACATACCAAACATGCCCAACAATCTACAATTCAATATTATGTTCGGTTATATTTAGATAACATGAAATAGTAATCAACCGCTAGATTATTGCACGCACAATTTATCATAACAGTTTCAAATCATTATTACAATATTTAATGGTTACTGGATTCTATTTAGCGTCATATTTTTAAATTTGATCATAGGGCTGTGTGCGAAACAATTCTAAATTCTTGAATGAACTCAACTATAGTATTTATGTAGATATTCTCATCGACTAATCTCAACATTCTATTCCATATAGTAGCCAACATAAAATCTTTATTTTGGTGCATGATTTCGAACTACTATATATACTCTATCATGAATAGGGTCAGCTACGCTACCGTACATCACAATAAATGTGGCCGATAATTTTCAACCCAATGCTAAATTAGGTTACATACCTGTAAAATAAAGTTGCAATCAACCGTTAGATTATGTACGCACAATTA